GTCACATTCAGTTATCCGTAGTTACACACCCTCAGGGATGTCCTCCCTCACTCCTGGACGTTCTACTCCCAGCATGCAAGGTGTTGGTGGATTACCAGTGGCGCCTGCGGCTTCTAGTCCTAAGCCCTCTCCTGGACTGACCTCTCAGACAGCCATGAGTAGCCCTACTGGAGCTTTGTTTATTGACCAACATGCTAGCTCCATGGCCCGGCAAAGTGGAGGTAGTGGAAGCAACAGTCCTGTCCCTTCTGCTTTCAAAGGTCCCTCCCGCTCTGGCACTCCTTCTCTTAGCTCTCTAGTAATGCCAAACTCTGCTGTTCTTGCCCGACCCCTTGGCATGGCCCATGGTGCTGCCTCGCCACAGTCTTCTTTACCCAGCACTGCTGGTGTATCTGGACTCCACAATCTTTCCTCTGCTCTGGGCTCTCAGGCTAGAAGCAGCCCTTCTCCACATTTTCCAGCCATGTCTCCTTTCCATGGAGCCCAGTCCTCCATTTCCACCCCATCCACTCCTACTCCTCCAGTGTCATCTGTGTATTCTGGCCTGGCTCACTCTAGTGCTCGCACGCCCTCCCCCTTTGGCCTGGGATTGACCACAGCTCCCTCCGTGTTCCCGGGTCTTCCTTCCGGCCCAAACCCTGCCTTCCCAGGATTTGGAGGCTCAGGGCCCACTGCAGCAGGTAGTCCGGTGCTGTCCTCCTTAATGGGGCTTCCAGGAGCCTCTTCCTCAGTAGCCACCGTTACACCTCTCCAGGCAGCAGCAGTCGCAGCAGCTGCTGCAGCAGGAGTCCCCTCCTCATCTGCTGTGCTTCCTGGATTTGCCTCTGCATTCAGCTCTAACTTCAACCCCGCCCTTGTTGGCCAGACTGGGTAATTTTTTCTTCTTCTATTTAATTGTTGCACAAGTTTATAAAGTATTAAGCAGAGAGGTTTGAATACTATTCTAGGGTTGAATTAGGGCAAGGGTACCAAGCCCTGCTCCTGGAGGACTACCTCCTGCATACTCCAGTTCCAACCCTGCTCCAACACATCTGCCTGTTATTTTCAAGTAATCCTGAACACAGTTTATTAGGACTTGATTAGCTGATTCAGGTGTGTTAAAAAAACACCTGCCGGATGGTAGCCCTCTAGGAGCAGGGTTGGCTACCCCATGATTTAGGATTATTTGAAATAAGCAGAAAGTGCTAAACCAGGGGTGTCCAATCCTGGTCCTGGAAATCTACCTACCTGCATAGTTCAGTTCATCTGTCTGTAATCATCAAGTGCTCCTGAAGATCTTTGCTGGAAGGTAGATAATTGGGAACGGGATTGAGCACCTCTGTGCTAAACTAATATGGAGCATCTACATTGTCAATGGTATGTAAATAACAGTTCTAAAACTTAGTGAGCTGCCTACTTAGCCAGCATTATAGGTGCACAACACCAGGGCTTCTCTAGGAAATGTAGGAAGTATAATTATGCTTGATTATTTTAAGATGATTATGTATATATTTCATTCAATATTGAAAAACATCTAAATACAGTCCAGTCTAATCCCAGATGGACTGTTTTATCCACTACTTGTGTTATGTGTATTTAAAGGGTTAGTTCACCCAAAAATTAAAATTAGGCTGTGTT